GGCAGGCACTATCGCTCTCTCTCTCTCTCGCGTACGACCGTTATCGAGAATTCGAATTATCAAAGTTCCGTATAGAAATTATTGTTCTCAGGAGCTTCGACTTCAGGAAGCTTCGACTTCAGGAAGCTTCCGTAATAGACGCTCTTTGTTAGACCGACTTAGAATATCGCGCGTTTTTCTAGCGTTTCGAGATTTATTGTCCGTTCATGGCTAGTGCATTATTTCTGTTTCCATTTTGTATCGATTTTTATTTCTTTTTGTTAAACACTCCTCTTATTATTTTCTCTCTAAATAAATCTGTTATTTATTTTTATTAAATCTCGCGTTCTTTATTTGGCTGGCGATCGTCCGTAATTTCTGTGTCCCTCTTTGTCTGTCAATTTAGTAAGCTCGCTCAATCAATTAACTTTTTCTTTCAAACCCCGCCCCTCTACCGTTAGGCGAGCTAGCCAGCCCGTGGCGAAGCGGGCTGTCGTATTCTTTCGCGCTTTTCGAAGAATTTGTGAAAACTAGTACGTGAGAGACCATACCTGGCGCTCAGTTCTGAGGTAACGAGACGGCCTTCGCTCCGCCGCGGCTCGCGCGCGGACACCCTCCATCCCTGTCCCGCCGATCGCGAGTACACCAAAACCCTTGTGTTTTTGACGGCGCTTCCGCTCCCCCGCGAGAATAAAAATTAGAATTGAAAAAGCGTCGCAAAAATTTGGCGCCCAACGTGGGGCCACGTTTCAAAGAAAATATCGCGCATAGGCCACGTAATTTTGTTTAACATAGGTCAGGTCGCGAAAGTTTAGCGTAGAGCCACGTTGCAAAATTCGACATAGAGCAACGTCGCAAAAATTTGGCGTAGGTTTCGTTGCAAAAATAAATCAATTATTCTAACAAAGATTATTTTGCAAAATTTAACGTTTGAAAAAAAAAAAAGCCAAGGACTTCGCGTTAAGTAAGAAAAAGTTCGGGGAGCTTGTGCGAGCTAAAATTATTTATTGAGTTAGTTCAAAGTCATTTTTTTTTATGACCGTGTATTCGTTTCGTGCGTGACTATTATTTTCGTTGGTCGTGTATTCGTGTGATTTAGACTTTCGTTGGAAATTTCTGTTGCCAACCTTCACATATTTGTTGTCAATTCTAGGATATTCGAACAATAACGGCTTTGTCTCGTGTTTTTGGGGCTGTCGACGGTTATTATAGTGTTGTCGAGGCCACATCTGGCCGAGTTCGAACGTATTTATTTTGTTTCAAGTTTTTCTGTCGGGATCGTATGAGTCAAGTCGATCCAGAGGACGACTGGATTTTCGTATTAAATCGCGAACAATTATTCGAAGAATTAGAGCGGCGGAAACTTCCAACGGAAGGAAGTTATTCTATTCAGACCGCGCGCTTACTGCGTCGCGTACGTAAAGAGCGAAAATTTAAAGCAATTGAAATGTCGGACGAGGAACTTTTGGAGGTCCCCGTAGACGCGACGGCTAGACCGGATAGCCCTATGGATCAAGCGAGATTTCGCGCACCCTCAGGCTCTCGCGATACTTCTCGCTCAGAAGGTCGAGATTTTTCGCGCGACTATAATGGAAATTCCGCAATGACTGCGTATAACGTCATGCGGAAGTGGAACCTGAAGTTCTCGGGTACGAAAGGGGAGGACGCGGAGACGTTTTTGCTGCGCATTGAGGAAGGTCGCGAGTTAGTTCCTGTATCGGATGAGGATATTTTGCGTTGCTTGCCATTTTTTCTAACGGGCATGGCTCTCTATGGGTTCCGCAGTAGGCGTAATAGGCTGTCGAACTGGGCTTTAAAGACGCGTGGAGAACGCGCTTTGGCGACCCAGATTTCCAGTACGCTCTGCGCGAAGAAATCATGAGAAGGACTCAGGGTGAACATGAGCCTGTCACCGATTATTTTACGTGTTTGAGAACCATGTTAGATCGATTATCGCCGCCGTGGACGGAATCGGAGCAAGTCAGCTGCGCGTTTAGGAACTTATTACCGCGACTCCAACAATTTCTTCGTCGCGATGAGGTGCAAGAGTTAGATGCCTTGGAAAATTTAGCGACTCGCGTCGAAGCCAGTCATTCGCTTTCGCAACGATATCGGGCTCCTCCGACTCCGGAGAAATCGTTGTTCCCCGATCTCGCTTATCACACGCCGCGTAATACCAAGCCGGCGACCCGAGGCCGCGAGACCCTGGCCGCGTTAAGCACTTCAGCGGAGGAGACGGAGGCAAAATCAAGGTCACGAAGGAATAAAAATCGTACAACTCAAGCCGCGACCGGGACGGAGGCCGCGACGAGTAGTTCCTCGTCGTCAGGGGCGACAGCCGTAGAGTCGACAGCCACGCGTAATTCCACGATCAAATGCTGGAATTGTGAGAGTGTCGGACACATCTCGCGAAATTGTAAAGCCGCTCCGCGGAAACACTGCTATCGTTGCGGTCGAGCGGAGGTAACTTTACGAACGTGTCCTGACTGTTCGGGAAAAGAATAAAGGAGTCGAATAATGGGGGGGACCCGACTCCTGAACAACCCCAACCCCCTGTTCGTGTCGTTAATTGTCATGAATTCTCGTTTAGTGCTTTTGGTTGTCGTGACATTCCGTCTATATTATTTGTTCGAATTAATTTATTAGGGAATGAAATTGGCGCTTTAGTGGATTGTGGTTCGACTCGTACGTTTTTGGGCTCTAGCGTAATCGAATTAGTAAAGAAATCGAATGTGAATTTTCGAAAGTCAGATGGCCGACGAGTCGTTACGGCAACCGGCCAGACGACACGGGTTAGGGGGGAGGTGGATCTTCCTTTTTCGTTGAATAATAGAACTCATAATGTGAGAGCGTATGCGTTGCCGTCATTAGCTATTCCGTGTATAGTAGGGCTAGATTTTTTAAGTTTATTTAGTATGACGGTCAATTTTTCGCGACAAGAATGGTACTTCGAAAATGAACCAGCCAAGGTGTATCGCTTTGAGAATCAGCCGAGATCCCGTTTTTCATTTGAATGTTATTGAGAATACTGCCACTCGTAATTTAAGTAGCTCTTTCGTGTCGATAGGTGAGAGAGTAGCGGAAACGAAATTAGAGGTTGATAGGCCGAAAAATGGGCTGTGTCGCGAAAGCGACGCGTAATCGCAAGACAAGGAAAGTTCGGCTGTCGAAGTCTGATCCGCTTATTTGTTGTGGTTTAAATGAGTTATCGTCGCGTGAAGATCAGATATTGGCGAAATTTTTAAGGAAACATATCATAGGCGATCCGGATAAACCGGGAGCGACGAATTTAACGGAACATAGAATCGATGTAGCCGGACATCGACCAATTAAACAGCGATATTATCCAGTTTCACCAAAAATCCAAGAAGCTATCTACGCGGAGGTAGATAAAATGTTAGCGGCAAAAATTATTGAACCGTCGAAAAGCGAATGGTCTAGTCCGATCGTCATGCTCAAAAAGCCGAATGGTAGCTATCGATTTTGTCTGGATTTCCGTAAATTAAATAGCGTCTCGAAAAAGGATGCGTATCCGCTACCGTACATGAATGCCATCCTTGATAAGTTGCGATCGGCCAATTATATTTCGACGATCGATTTGAGCCAGGCTTATTTCCAGATTCCGCTGGAAAGAAATAGTCGCGAATTAACGGCATTCACGGTACCGGGGAAAGGGTTATTTCATTTCACCCGCATGCCGTACGGGCTCACCGGTGCCCCCGCGACATTTCAGCGATTGCTCGATCGACTCATAGGTCCCCAGATGGAACCTCACGCTTTCGCTTATTTAGACGACATCGTGGTCGTAACGCGCACTTTTGACGAACATTTGATTTGGCTAAAGCGTGTTTTAGATCGGATTAGACAGGCAGGTCTAACGATAAACCCGGAAAAGAGCAAATTCTGTAGGTCTCAAGTTAAGTATCTCGGGTTTCTGATTCAACAGGAGGGGCTTAAGGTAGACCCTGATAAAACCGCGCCGATCGTTGAATATCCGCCGCCGAAAAATATAAAACAGTTAAGACGATTTATTGGAATGGCGTCATGGTATCGCCGATTTATACCACAATGTGCGACTCAGTTAGAACCGCTAACCCGTCTCCTTAGAAAGAATTTCTCTTGGGAGTGGGGGGATGAACAAAAAAATGCATTCGGGACAATTAAATCCTGCATTACGTCCCCGCCTACGCTGTCGTGTCCGAATTTCGGACTGCCGTTCACCTTGCAGACGGATGCGAGCTCGGTTGGTTTAGGAGCGGTCTTAATGCAAGAATCGGAAGGCGTAGAACATGTCATCGCGTTCGCGAGTAGGGCGCTGTCGGAGGCCGAGAGGAAATACTCCACGACAGAACAGGAGTGTTTGGCTGTCGTGTGGTCCATAAAAAAGTTCAGGCCGTACCTCGAAGGATACAGTTTTAAAGTTATCACGGACCATAGTAGCTTGAGATGGCTCCACAACTTAAAGAATCCGACTGGCCGTTTAGCGCGATGGGCATTGGAACTCTTAGAGTACGATTATAAGATCGAACATCGGAAGGGAGCGTTGCACCATGTTCCCGACGCGTTGTCGCGCATGTACGAGGATACTGCTGAATTATGCGCTGTAGCGATTACCGGAGACGCTTGGTACGATGCACGCGTTCGAAACGTGGAAAACGAGCCACGTAATAATCCGGGCTGGAGGATTAATAACGACCAGCTTTATTACCGAAAACCGAACGCAGTCGTTTCATAAGTTGTCGACGATCTCGAGCAGTGGAAGTTAGTCCTGCCGAGAGAAGCGCGCGCGAACGTCATTAGAGAGGCTCACGATACTCCACAAGCCGGTCATCTCGGAGTGGAGAAAACTTATCAACGGGTAGCGACGCGTTATTTCTGGCCGCGAATGTTTAAAGAAATTGCCGGTTACGTACGACATTGCGATGTTTGCCAACGGACTAAGGTGGAACAGAATTTGCCGATGGGTTTGATGGGGCGTAGGGCCTGTCGAAACTCCGTGGACGGTGGTCGCCACGGATATTATGGGGCCGTTTCCGCCGAGTAAGAGCGGGAACGCATATATCTTGGTCGTGCAAGACCTGTTTACTAAGTGGATTGAGTGTTGCCCCCTGCGAAAAGCGACCGGCAAAAAGATCCGCGAGCTCTTGACGGAATTGATCGTGAATCGGTGGGGCGCGCCGCGAGTGCTTCTGACGGATAACGGCACGGAATTCATTAACCGCGAACTGCAGGCTTTTGCGGAGGAGCACGGCATAACTCATACGACCGTGCCTCCGTACCATCCTCAGGCAAACCCTGTGGAACGCGTCAATAGAGTGATTAAGACTATGATAACGGCCTTTCTTGAAAGCGATCACCGCGAGTGGGACCTACACTTGACTGAGTTCAGATTCGCGTACAATACGGCGTATCATACTTCGCTACAGGCAACCCCTGCGTTTTTAAATTTTGGTAGGGAACCACAGCCGATAAATACCGTGCGTGGAAGGCACGAGCAGGCTGTCGAGGTCGCAGAGACGAATCCCGCGAATTGGAAGGAACGCATGGAGAGGATAAAAGCTTTACGCGAATGGATAATCGAAAATTTAGAAGCTGCGCATGAAAAGCAGTCGCGATACTATAATCTGCGAAGGAGAGATCAACGTTTTGCGATTGGCGAGCGAGTTCTGAAGCGGCAACATATCTTGTCGTCGGCCGCTCAGAACATATCGGCTAAATTAGCGACAAAATTCCACGGTCCGTTTACTATCGCGAAAATATTATCGCCCGTGGTTTATGAGTTACGTGATGACGCGGGTAGATCGTTAGGTAAGGTGCATATAAAAGATTTAAAATTGTATAATGTACCACCTCCTACCCTTCCCTTAGGGAATTAACGAAAAGAGAGAAAGAGAAGCGACGATGTCTCGCAGGTTCCTGGAGCAATACAGGGACATATTCGAGGCTGTCGACGAGGCGCGTCCAGGTTTCTGGACGGCGCTAGCCGAGGAGGCCCGAAGAATAATGGAGAGCCGCACCACTACCAGAGGCGCGATAGTGCGCGATCCCGGTCCGTTTCCCGGCCCAGCTTGAAATCGGGATACAGGCTGTCGTGGCGACGAGGGACGCTGGGTCCCAAGTGGCTGTCGGGAGCCGAAGTGAGGTGGCGGTGCAAGTGTCACCCCGACACCCCGAACCGGACTCTACGTCCCCGGAGGTGCGGGAGATCTTCCCCGCCGGCCGGGAGAACCTAAGTCCAACCGCCGGGCCCTCCACCTCATTCCCAGTTCCGCGTCGGCGTCGAGGCTGCTGGAACTGCGGTTCCAGGAGGCACGTAGCCAGTGCGTGCCCCACGGAAGAGAAGAGGCTCTTCTGTTTTCGCTGCGGGACTCCGGGGGTCACAATAAAGGCGTGCCCCCGTTGCCGTGAGGGATGGAGGGCACAGGGCTCCTATAAAGAAGGGAAGGGCCATGACCGGCCCCGCTCCTCGGGAAGTCGCCAGGCGCGAAAGAATGGCCGCCCGAGCCCCTATTGATAAGGCTGTCGCCGCGTTGCCTGCGGGCCACCTCCAGGGCTATCGACCCCCCTGTTTAACAGGCGAGGGGCATGTAAAGTAGGCTCCTTAATAAACTTATTCTCTCAATTTGTATTCGGCGTTATCTTCGTATTTTTCTTTCTTTCTTCCGGTTCACCTAACTCCCCCTAAGGTTAGCGTAGACGACGGGGCAGTCGCCCCGTAACTCTCGCGCGACGTAAAACGCGGTAGAACGGGCCCAGAACCCTAACGAGAGACAATATCGCGACGTAAGCTCGAGAGAGGCCGGGTTAAACGGCTCCCTAGTAATTATTGAAACCACTTCCGTATCTAAAGTTAATTTTTTTTTTGTTTGATTGTTTTGTCTGTTCTTTATCGTGCTTCCTCGACTCCGGGGATTTCGGCCGCCCGAACGGGGGTGAGCGGACAGTGCGGTCCACATTAGCGGCCGCCGTGGGTAGTCGAAGCCGATGGGCTCTCTCTTGGCATGGGGGGATGTGACGTGGCCGTCCCGTCACGTCTATCCGCCCCGGCAATTTTGACGGGGCGCGAGTCGAGTGGCCGCGCCAAAGGTCAAGAGAGAGAGAGAGAGAGAGCTACTGTACTCCCCGGAGAGACGAGCGAATTAGTGTAATTGTGTATCCGATTAATTGTTTTTTTTGTATTTTTTTTTAATTGCGTCGAGTCTGAGGCACCTCACCACCGAACACCGAAGACCAGGGGAGAGCAGCACCACGTCTCCTCACGACAGCTAAGAACGACAGCCGAGGGACCTTCATAAGAGCGGAGGATCCTGTCCCGGAAAGCCCGGCATCGTGAATCCGGACAGGGGAGAGCGGCATGGCCTCCCCTCGACAGCCGGGAATGACAGCCGCTGCGACAGCCATCCTCCTGGAGAGGATACGTCCGGGAAGGACCTCATCCGGGCCATAAAAGGGCCCGCGACAGCGTTCAAGTTTGGCGCTATTTCGCGCGGGGCGCGATAATGCTTCGCATGGCGCGCGAGGCGCCAGGACCTCGCGCGTGTCGGCCGTTAATTGGCCGGGGGTCCGCGCATCTCCCTGCGCGGCCAACGACCCCGCTATCGACCCTGGATCGCGAGATCCAGGGATCACTCTGTCGCGGCCGCTCGACTGAACCAGTCAAGAAGATTGTTCTGTGTGCTCTTGAGACGAGACAGACCGTGAAGGACGAGACCGAGGATCATCCCCGCAGCCGGGAGAAGCCTTCGTCGGTGAGGTTGCCCACGTAATTTTGGTACTCCGCGAGCGTGATTGTATCCGCTCGCCGGCCGTTCTATCGCCGTCGCCATTACGGCATTTATCGCGACCGCTCGAGCCTTCTGCCGAGTCGGTCGAATTTTGTGGATTTCGGGCGACCGGAGATAAGCGACCGAGGAAGCGCGGACACGGGCGACGGAAGTGCGTATCGTAGGGTAATCTTCGTCTCTCTCCGGGTGTCAGGGTGCGTAATACGCGTAGCATTCGACCGTTGGATATCGACCGCGTGCGTCGTAAATCGCGAGAAATGCGTAGTTCGCACGGGCTGTCGTTTGGTTGTCGAAGCCGCGTCTCGCACCTCTGAAAAATGTCTCAGAGCGAGCCTGTGGAACGTAGTTGGTCGTGAGTAATGAGTCTTCGTGTAATCTAATTGTCGTTCGTGAATATTGCGCGAAACTGCGTATTATTGTCGCGTCCATTGTGTGCGTGTGAGTTGGTCGTCTCGAAAAAAAAACGTAATTCCCCGAAATTGTCGCGGTGTGCGAGTATCGCACGATTCTAAGTAGCGAGATCTGAGGTCAGGAAATTCCTGGCAAATATTGCGGCTATCGAAAGAGGCGCGGTGCAGGACTGTCGCCCGGCCTTCCTTATTACCTTGAGACGAGAAGATAATTAATTCTCACGCTGTCGAAGGTATCGGGGGTGTGACACGACATTGTCGCATCGCCCCGATTGCCAGAAATAGTTAAGTTGCGAGCGTCGCAGAAAAAGGCGGAAAAATCTCCGACCGCCGCCGGCTATCGAACTTCGCCGGTATCGTCCGCCAGTCGTATGCGAGATCTCTCCTCGCGAAACTAGTATCTTTTCGCTTATTGCGTAACTAATCGGCCGTCTTATTTCTGGGTTGTCGACTTCGAGTACGCTCGGAGGAAATTGCGAGATACGCAGCTAATTAGTAAGATCTCCGCGAGGCTGTCGAAGCTGCGACTGATAGGCAGGCACTATCGCTCTCTCTCTCTCGCGTACGACCGTTATCGAGAATTCGAATTATCAAAGTTCCGTATAGAAATTATTGTTCTCAGGAGCTTCGACTTCAGGAAGCTTCCGTAATAGACGCTCTTTGTTAGACCGACTTAGAATATCGCGCGTTTTTCTAGCGTTTCGAGATTTATTGTCCGTTCATGGCTAGTGCATTATTTCTGTTTCCATTTTGTATCGATTTTTACTTCTTTTTGTTAAACACTCCTCTTATTATTTTCTCTCTAAATAAATCTGTTATTTATTTTTATTAAATCTCGCGTTCTTTATTTGGCTGGCGATCGTCCGTAATTTCTGTGTCCGTCTTTGTCTGTCAATTTAGTAAGCTCGCTCAATCAATTAACTTTTTCTTTCAAACCCCGCCCTTCTACCGTTAGGCGAGCTAGCCAGCCCGTGGCGAAGCGGGCTGTCGTATTCTTTCGCGCTTTTCGAAGAATTTGTGAAAACTGGTACGTGAGAGACCGTACCTGGCGCCCAGTTCTGAGGTAACGAGACGGCCTTCGCTCCGCCGCGGCTCGCGCGCGGACACCCTCCATCCCTGTCCCGCCGATCGCGAGTACACCAAAACCCTTGTGTTTTTGACGGCGCTTCCGCTCCCCCGCGAGAATAAAAATTAGAATTGAAAAAGCGTCGCAATGTATATATATATATATATATATATATATATATATATATATATATAATTATCATTATACATGTAGGGAATATTTCTGCGTAACTATATTTGTGTCTATGCAGGCGAATGTAATAAATGTCTATGTAACTATAATTATGGTTGCGCAGTCAAATATGTGAATTTCTACACACATACGCACAAACGTGTGTGTGTGTGTGTGTGTATGTGTATATCTATTTAAGTTTTCGAATTTTTAACTTTTTTTTCTCTTTAAACCTAGTAATGGCTAAATTTCACTTTAAATTTCATTTTGTTTAGAACACTCTAATACAATGACAGAATTGCAGCATGTTTTATTTTAATTAAATCTGAACTTCTAAAATTTTCTTTGATTCTCCATATGTGAAACAAAATTTTATTTTATAATAAATAATAATGCAATAATAATGAAAATAGTAAATATGTAATGTATATAATAGTATATATGTAATGATAAAATCTTAATTAAATCAATAATTTTGACGTATAATATATAGTAATATACTGGATGGCAATTAATAAATGATTTAGTAGTACAAAAGTGTAGTTGGCCTAGAAATGCTAAAAATGCATATATATTTTTTGCAGAAAAGCTATATAAATAAATTTTACAAAAAGATGTGAAATCCTTCGAAAGAAAACCTTACAAAGGTAAAAAAAATACGCCAAGTACATAAAAAATATTCCACCTTGTATGCAACAAAACGTTTAATAAAAAAATACCCTTATAATAAATAATTTATAAAAATTTTCCCTCAAAATATATATATAATTTTTTAATATATATATATATATATATATATATATATATATATTAAATATGATGTAGTTTTATGTATATTATAAAATCTATTTTTTAATTTTTTTTAAGACATCTTGTATAAAAATAAATATATATATTGGGTTGGGGAAAAAGTTTCTTCGTATTTTATTGTAAAAATGAAACAAATTTTATTCATATTTGAAATGAAGCTTATGAAATTAAATATGTGCCGTTTTGTTCGACCACCTTTTGCCATCTTTGAGGTAAAACCATAATCCCGTCACTGTAGAACTTATGTGATTTCTGGGCGAAAAACTGTGACAAGTGATTTTCACAGGCCTCTCTTGAAGCCAACTTCGTACCATTAAGAGAGTTCTGTAGAGATCGAAATAAATGGTAGTCTGATGGTGCAAGGTCAGGACTATAAGGTGGGTGCATCAAAACTTTCCAACCAAGTTCTCTTAATTTTTGACGAGTCGCTATAGATACATGAGGTCTCGCGTTGTCGTGATGAAAGACGACGCCTTTCCTATTGATCAATTCTGGTCGCGTTTTCTCAATTGCCTGGCGTAATCTTTCCAGTTGTTGACAGTAAAGGTTAGAATCAATTGTTTGACCGGACGGCAGCAGCTCGTAGTGAACGATTCCTTTGTAATCCCACCACACACTCAGCATCACTTTTCTTGGCGTCAATTTTGGCTTTGCCACAGTTTGCGGAACTTCATTTTGCTTTGTCCACGATCTTTTTCGTACATTATTGTCATACGTGATCCATTTTTCATCGTCTATTATGAGCCGTTTCAAAAATGGTTCGATGTCGTTTCGTTTTAACAATGATTCGCAGATAGAAAATCGATCCATTAAATTTTTGACTGTTAAATC